AACAGTGAGATTCTAAGGAATTTTGGGAGAGGGGGGAAGCGGGAACTTTCGAAATTTGCGGCGCTTCTCATTGCCGTCGGTGAGAAGAGAGAGTGTAGATGAATTTCAATTCAAAATTGAAATTCATAGGTTTTAGGGTGAAATTAAAATACACGTATTTTACTCTTAGGAATTACATTGTTAAAATACATGTATTTCACTCAAATTCAATTACTTTTTATTTATGTAAAAACAAACAGTGATATTGAATTTTAACCCTTCAAATTCAAATACATTGTTTCAAATTCGTGTTACCAAACAGACTATTAACTACTTGTCATATTGAGATTTTTAAATCTATCTAAAAATATCTGTAAATTTAATATCATAAATGATCGATATATAGCACAAAAAACCTCAATTAGAAACTTAAAGAAAACAAAGTTCCTTATTGAAAAACTATAGTAAATAAAAAAGAAAAAAAAAAGTGACGGCAAAACCACTCCACAAATCCTGGGGCGATGGAGCAATTCTAGGAAGATTTTAGGAAGCCCACCGCCCAAGGAAAGTGAAAAAAATGAGTTAAGGGTTTTTTTTTTTTTTAACCTCTCTTAAATTTAATAAACTTTAAAATATGATAGTTTTAGCTTCTGTTCATATGTGAGATTTGGAGTTCGCTTCATTGACCGCTAAGCCTGAGCCCTGGATGCCTAATTAAAAGGCTGCTTAGATTTCCTCAAAAACACTTGTAGCTTATTTGGCTGTCCCACTACTTCTCCCCTAACTTCCCCCTTATTGTTGAACAACACTGGCGAGCAGTGAGAAACCACACATTTCGTGCTGCGGAGGTGTATTTGCCTACCATAATTGGCACCTCTGCTGCTGATGAAAAAGGAAATCGGCACCTCTCTGCTGATAGTCTCCTCATTGGGTCTCATTCATTGGTCCCTCACAACCTCGACACAAGAACTTCAGTTGGCTGTAAGATAATCGATGAGTTCCGAGTTATGAAACTGGAGACGTCGTCGGAGCTAGTTAATGAACGGAAAGGTTAAAGAAAGAGTTGGAAAAATAAATTTTAAGAATTAAAAATAAATTTTTTTTAAGTTGAAGTATTAAAATAAGGTTTTTAACTATTTAAATATATAGGTATTTTTTTTTAACAGTCAAAGTGTTTCTTCAGTTTTAATCCCATTGAGCTGGTCTATTCATCGGGTGCATTTTTGTCTAAGAATTTCATGGGCAAAGATTACAGCTGGATATGAAAAAGAAAGTTTAGTTTGAGAAAGCTTGT